TTTTCTTGACAGGATCCTTTGAGGTGGGAAGACCCATCTCAAATTCGGACCACACCTTCTGGTGGCAGTCCACATAAAAGGACATGGAAGAAGAAAGCTTTTGCTTTTTGCCTATGTGTACACACTCTAGCTGACAAGTTCACCCGTCCTGCTGTGGAGGCATTCCTTCACTCTATTAGAACCTAGTCTTTAGGATTCTAGTGGAGACTGGAGACCAGCTGCTCTTTTGGAATTCCTGGACCCCTGAGACATTCAGCCTCAAGGACTCTTGGTTACTGGACTCTTGGCCTGTCAGAAGACAGCATTGTTGGACTAGTCAGATCACAGTCAGTTCTGTTCCTTCAGAGAACACTGACTATGGAATGTGTATATCTTTTCATTCTCTCTGTCTTTCTCTTTCTCTCTCTCTCTCTCCTCTCTTTTCTTATGAGACAGAATCTCAATATACAGTTCTGGCTAGCCTGGTAGCCGTCGTGGGCTAGTCAGATCACAGTCAGTTCTGTTCCTTCAGAGAACTCTGAAGGAACTATGGAATGTGTGTATCTTTTCATTCTCTCTGTCTTTCTCTTTCTCTCTCTCTCTCTTTTCTCTTTTCTTATGAGACAGAATCTCAATATACAGTTCTGGCTAGCCTGGAACTAGCTATGCACACCAGGCTGGCTTCAAATACCTGCCTGCCTCTGGAATATTGGGATTAAAGACATTTGCCACCACTCATAGCCTATCTTTTCTTTTTTTTCTGGAATAGAATCTAGGATGTTGTATATGCTAAGGAAACAGCCAACCACTAAAATATACCCAAGCTTGTGTGTGTTTGTGTGTGTGTGTGTGTGTGTGTGTGTGTGGGAGGGAGAGGTGTGTGTGTGAGAGAGAGAGAGCGAGAAAGAGAGAGAGAGAGAGAGAGAGAGAGAGAGAGAGTGAGAGAGAGTCTAGTATCCCAAGGTGGGCTTCTTCTCCTTATCTTCTTGCCTCTACAAATTCTGAGATTACAGGCCCTTGCCACTGTGCCTGGCTGTTTGTATACAGTTCCATGATACAGATCTATTGCTGAGTGCCATAGCCCACGCCTGAGAGCTGAGCCAGCATGACCTCAAGTGGGAGGCAGCGTGGGCTACTCATTGAAGCTGCACCCCCTCCGTCCACACTGAACACATTGGTAATAGTTTTATTCACATCTGAAGACAAGTACAATCAGAAGGACCAACTTGAAGAAGTCTTAAGTGTGGGAGTCTGCTCTGTTCAGGAAAGTAATTGGAAATTTTCAAGTGTTTGATTGGCAGCATTTGAGCTGCAAGACAGCTGAGATTTGGGGATCCAGCTCTGCTACATACTAACTGGTCTCTCAGGCTGAGGAGTTCTACTCTGATAGAATGGTCCTCGGTGCTCGCTTGCTTCTCAGAGCAGTGTCCATCACATCTTGAGACAGCAAGGTGCTCTGTTTGCCCTTGGGGACCTCCTAAATTAGTGGTGGGATAGGGGGCGGAGAGCAGGCTCACTCCTTGCCTAGGCTGTGCTGTGACTGACTGAAATGGTCCTCTTTCAAATGAAACAAGTCTCAAACTCATTCTTTTCCGGAGGAGACTGGATGGCTGTTGTCTCGGTTTACATGTTGTTTTGCAAGTTCTGTAGTGTGTGGGTCTGTACCATACAAGGCTGTCAATGAGTGCTTTAGTAGCTACTTTTTTTTTTTTTTGCAAGTTCATAAAATCCCAGAAGGTAGGGGTCTGTTGTTTATTCATTAAGCCTCTTTTGAGTCATTCAGGTACAGGGTGTGTCTGTCAATTGAAACTGTACAGCGGAGGAAGTTTTGCATTCACATCTGCTTAGGGTGGGAAGGCAGTGCGACCAGGGGACTTGGGTGAAACCTCTTTTTAACAGTAGGGCAAGGCATAAAGGCCCCGAGCCTGCTTCACAACCAAACCTAACCAAGGCCCCTGAAGCCTCAATCTCTTAAGCAGTATCTACTAAGAGAAAATGTGGGCGAGGTGTGACTCTTTAGATTGGGGGAGGGGGGTCTTAGTTATCTCTCAAATAGAAAGAGAGGGAAGGGATCCCAGCCTCAGCCGGACAGCAGTAGGCGCTGGCCTGTGAAAAAGCCAGGCAGCCCTTTCCCCTGTGGACAATCTTTAGCTGCCCGACTGTTTAAACCTTTGAGGTCGGGGTTAGCAACCCACCTCCTCAAAGGCCTCAGCGCTTCCCAGAATCTGGGGCACACCGCCTGGCTTTGCGCTCAGCTGAGCGAGGGGAACCCCCACCCAACAGCAAGCCCGGCGCTGGCCCACTTCACCGTGCGCCCGGGGAAAGCCACTTTCTGCCCACCAGACCGCAAACTTCAAGGCTTGTCTAGGATCGGAGTGGAGGGTGGGGGGAGGAGGAGGACAGAAGCATTTCGGTGCCTTCGGGCTGCTCGCCTCTGGCTCTGTCGCAGTTCCTTCCCAGGATCTCTTCCCTGCAGCGCAGCGGCCGCTCTTTCGGCTGTGGATCGGGTTTCCCTTGACCGCGTGGAAGTGGCCCCTAGGGCACCAGGCCACTCGGGCCATTCGGATCCTCAGGGCTGTCGGATCCGGGACCAGGAAGGTCCTCTACGAGGACGCGCGGGCTTGTCTTCTGCTCTCTAAGATTTTAACGAAGGAAAGTTTTTCAAGGGATCCTCATCTCTACTTTCTGAGTCCTCACCAGCCCTGGGGACCGCCGGTAGAAGGCGATAGACGTGATTTGTGAACTAGAATTTAGGGGCTGTCAGGCTCCGCCCCCTTCCCCCCCCCTCTGTGCTGGTTGCGGAGGAGGGGCTCCTATTCATTTCGTTTTATTTTAGTCACTCTGCCGCAGACCTTCCTTGGAGGCTGCTTCTCAGAAGCCTGGACCCGGAGGGGCCCCCTGCCGCTGGCAGAGGGAGGAGGAGTTAAAGGCATTAACCCCTCCCAGTCCCTTCCTAGAGGAGCCACCCAGCCTCGGCGGGCCGCTCAGAGACTTCGGCTCTGCAGAGCGGTGCAGGCAGCGGCAGGCAGCGGCGGGCAAGGCTGGCCATTGGAGTGCACCGCTGCGGAGGGAAGGGGGCCCCAGAGCAGAGAACTTTGCGAGTGAGCTGGTCGCCGTCATTCGAGGACAGCAGCAAGATGCGGGTCGCTCGGTGTAGACCCAGAGCCCTGCGGACGCAGCTTCGTCCGGCCTGAGAGAGGTAGGAGGTTGCGAGCCTCTGCGGCTCCAGCGCCGGCTGCGGGGCGCCCAGGTGCCAAGAACTACGCTTTAAAACCGAACGAAACAAACAAAAACTTAAAAAAAAAAAAGTGCATTACTCGGTTACTATGGAGCCCATCTTGATTGGCTTCTTCTTGGGGCACGGAGTTGTTGAAGTTCAGAAATGGATTAATCCCCAGTTTGTAGAAACAGCTGGGGAGGGGGAGATGAGGCGATGGAGAAGCTGCTATTCATTATTTTTGGAAATCCTATAGACAGACTTATCAGGCATCAGGCCAGTGACTTCCACTGCCTGAGAGTGGACTGTCCGATTAGGGTGGGGAGACGTGGAGTTTCCTGAACTTTTCTGTCATAGAAATAATGACTTCAATGGTTCTAGGTTTGTTTGTTTGTTTGTCTTTAACTTCATTTTTATCACGTTGATACATTCCCAGGCAGTCTTTAAAGTACTCAATCAGTGTCGTATGTCCTTCCTCTAGGTGTTACTAGTTAAGTGAGAGAAGGCAATGTTGGGGTATGGGGCGAGGACGGGCATTAACAACATTGACTAAAATTGCCCATGAAAATCTAACAGTATGTATTTCTGGAAAGTCATGTAGTTAGAAGTTAGAAGAAAGTGTCATGCTACATTATCCCTAGCAGGGTTCTACGTGCATGCTTGTGTTGGCTAAACTCAAAATAGGCAATCAGTTCATGGAGAAACTTCTGGGATTTGTTGAAATCTCGTAGGAGGGATTCTCGATGAATACCATTAAACTTAATAAGTTTACTTGTGGGGGGTTGGGTGAGGCAGGGGAGCAAAAAAAAAAAATTAAGAAGAAGAAGAAGACTAGGCAGTTGCTTCACGGAGGCGCCTAGCTTTCCTGTTTACCGCGAGGCCTGGCGCCCACACCTCGCTGGGCCCTCCGCCCCGACCCTCAGCACACCTGCTTCTAGGGAGTTATTAATAGAGCCCAGAAGACTTACTTTGTTAAATGACCCTCCCGCAAATCTACTTTCTTGCATGGTAATTAGGAGGTGGGCTGGTCTCTATGAGCTCTCTCTCTCTCTCTCTCTCTCTCTCTCTCTCTCTCTCTCTCTCTCTCTCTCTCTCTCTGTGTGTGTGTGTGTGTGTGTGTGTGTGTGTGCCTGTAGAGGGGGGAGGGCAGGCGAGTACATGTCAGCACTGCACTCAGAATTGGCAGTTGGGGCCTTCTGTGAGAAGAGGCCCTAGGGCTGGTGGTGACCAAGTGCCTGAGCTGGTGACCACTTACAGGAATCTCAGGGTTGGAAGCTGAAGGTGGCAATGCCAGGGGAAATGGTGAGGGGCTGAAAACTAGAAAGGGACAGTGTTTCCCATTCCAGCTTTGTGGATTTAGTGACCAGAGGGAAGTTTGCCCTCAGTTTTTTGTTGTTGTTGTTTTCTCCCTCTCTTTCTACTTCACCTCTCTCTCTCTCTCTCTCTCTCTCTCTCTCTCTCTCTCTCTCTCTCTCTCTCTCTCTCTCCTCTCTTTCTAGTTTATTTTGTTTTGTTACTAGAAATGATAATTTGAGTTAAAAAATCCTCCCTATCCTCCGGCCAAGATTTCTTAAAACAAATCAACAACAAACTGGAGCAGTCCCTTGGCCAGAATGAATTATTCTAGTGTGCTGGGCCTTTCCCCTGATTCTCTTTTCTTTGTAACTTCTTTAAGGCTGCTGCTGTTTCGGAGGCCCTCTCCAGCCAAAGAAAAGCTACACAAAAAGCTTTGGATTGCTCACTGACGGAGCCTGCAGTAACTGAAGGACTGCTCAACCTCTCCCTCTAGCGTTCGTCTGGAGAAGTACCACCCCGGTCTCCTGGGGACACATTGCGGCTATGGTGTCCACCAGCGTCCCGGTGGTTAAGCCCCTTCGTAGCTCAGTCTCCGACTATGGCAACTATGATATTATCGTGCGACATTATAACTACACAGGCAAGTTGAACATCGGGGCAGAGAAGGACCATGGCATTAAGCTCACTTCAGTGGTCTTCATTCTCATTTGCTGCTTCATCATCCTAGAGAATATATTTGTCTTGCTAACTATTTGGAAAACCAAGAAGTTCCATCGGCCCATGTACTATTTCATCGGCAATCTGGCTCTCTCGGACCTGTTCGCAGGAGTGGCTTACATAGTTAACCTGCTGTTGTCTGGGGCCACCACCTACAAACTCACCCCCGCCCAGTGGTTTGTGCGGGAAGGGAGTATGTTTGTGGCTCTGGCTGCCTCGGTGTTCAGCCTCCTTGCCATTGCCATTGAGCGCTACATCACCATGCTGAAGATGAAACTACACAATGGGAGCAACAGCTCACGTTCCTTCCTGCTGATCAGCGCCTGCTGGGTCATCTCCCTCATCCTGGGTGGCCTGCCCATCATGGGCTGGAACTGCATCGGCTCGCTGTCCAGCTGCTCCACCGTGCTCCCACTCTACCACAAGCACTATATTCTCTTCTGCACCACCATCTTCACTCTGCTCCTGCTGTCCATCGTCATCCTCTACTGCAGGATCTACTCCTTGGTCAGGACTCGAAGCCGCCGCCTGACCTTCCGAAAGAACATTTCCAAGGCCAGCCGCAGTTCGGAGAAGTCGTTGGCCTTACTGAAGACTGTCATCATTGTCCTGAGTGTCTTCATTGCCTGCTGGGCCCCTCTCTTCATCCTACTGTTGCTGGATGTGGGCTGCAAGGCGAAGACCTGCAGCATCCTGTACAAAGCAGAGTACTTCCTGGTTCTGGCTGTGCTGAACTCAGGTACCAACCCCATCATTTACACGCTGACCAACAAGGAGATGCGCAGGGCCTTCATCCGGATCATATCCTGTTGCAAATGCCCCAACGGAGACTCCACTGGCAAATTCAAACGGCCCATCATCCCAGGAATGGAATTTAGCCGCAGCAAATCAGACAACTCCTCCCACCCTCAGAAGGATGATGGGGACAACCCAGAGACCATTATGTCCTCTGGAAATATCAACTCTTCCTCCTAAAACTGGAAGCTGTTGATACTGGGGAAGCATTCTGACTTGGTCACCCACTACCCCAGAACTTAAAAAATGGCTCCCGTTCCCCTTGCTGCCTAGAAGGAGCTCCCGGGAGCCTGAAAGCGGGAGGGAAGGGAGAGTGTGTGGCCTGGCGATGCCATGATGTAGGTAGGTAGTTCTTGTGAACAATACACTGGGAAGGGTGGAGATTAGGTCTGGCCTCCAGTGGGTTTCCTGCCCTCCCCCATACCCTGGAGCTTTGATTTTGCACTGAGCCAAAGGTCTAGCATTGTCAAGCTCCTGAAGGGATCATCTGACCCCTTCTCAAAGACTAAGGTCCTATGAGAAAGTGTCCCTGGAGTTTTGCGATGTGATCTTTCACTGTAAAGGCAAAGTGAGTATGTGTCCTTCAGCTTGGTAGGGTGGTATGCATGTCCCACTCTCCCGCCCCTTCTTACCTCCCCTCCCCTTCCCACCTCCTCTCCATATTCTCTAATTTTATATCTTAACTGTCTGTTCGTCAGAAGGAGGTTATACGGGGCTCTATTTCTTGATTGTCTGAAACTGACAGGCTGTTAACTCGGAAGGCTATTTGCTGAGGCCAAAGTGTCCATGTACGATGCGTCAAGTTGTTGGTGATTTGCTAGGCTGTCTTTAGTATGAAAATGTTTTCTTTATTCCTCACAGGAATGCCTTATTCCCATTACAATCACAATGGATATGTGTTTGTAATGGAAATAACGAAGTCTACTTTATCTGAATTATACCAGCCATGATCTTAGGTGTGTTCTCTATTCCTCATGCATTCCTTATTCCCATTACAACTACAATGGACATGTGTTTGTAATGGGAATAATGAAGTCTACTTTATTTGAATTATGTCAGGTAGGATTGTAGAAGAAACAGGAGAAAAACAGAATACGGTGAACTGCGGGATTAACTTTCAGAAACCAAGAGTGACTTCTTGATGTCTTTCCTCTAACAAACACAATGTTTTTGGCACTTTTATTGATTATTTCAGAGTGTTGTGTGATCCATTTCAAACAACTGGGGGATGGTTGTATCTTGTTTAAAATACAATTTATGATTTTTGAATGTATTTGCTTCTTTGAGGCCATCTTATTGAGAGTTTTTTCCTAACCTGTGTTAACACCATTGAATGTGTAGTCCTTAAAAAAGTGTCACCCTTTTGTACCCGAAAAGCATTACTTTAACTGACAGGGGGCATCAGGAATTCTTCATTTCGGCTGTCATTAGATATTGATGGAGGGTGTAAATGTTACAGAGAATAAAAATATATTACTGTCTCTTTAGTATGGTTTTCAGTGCAATTAAACAAAGAAATGTCTTTTTAAAAATAGTATTTAATAGGTTTCTGACTTTTGTGGATCATTTTGCACATAGCTTTATCAACTTTTAAACATTAATAAACTGATTTTTTTAAAGATCCTTTTGTGAAGAGAACTTTTTTAAAAAGTCATTCACGGAGATATCTGTTGATTGTGTGGTTCTTGGAGTTAAAGTTAAGAGCAAATTTGTGGTACTCTTTAAAAGCTTTTACCTTGATAAGCTACGTAGGGTATGGAAAATGTGGTTTGTTTAGAAACCACTCTAGCTTTTTCAGGAAGAGAAACTTCAATAAACTAACATTAAAGACATGTAGAGAATAAGAGAAAAACCATCAACCTTTTAAAGACCACAGCAAACAAATTAACTATTTGGATTTCAGAGTCCATTGAGGCTAGATAAAACTAAGTGTGATAATTACACTCTAAAATATAGTCTTCTAAAATACAACAATAAATTCTTAAATCTATTTTAAATTATGATAAAGATGATCAATCAGTTCAAGCCCAACCTCAAAAGCATATATTCTTTGTCTTTTAGCAATATGCTAGGGAAGAGAAAACATGGTTAACAGGAGATAATATTAAGTCACTTGGTACTTTTGTATTTTTTTGGTTTCTCTGTTCTTGAGTCAAGGTCTAGTGGGTTCTAGGCTTGCCTCATGCTCACTCTGAGGATGACTGCAACTTTGAATCCTCCTGCTTCCACCTCTTACTCAGTGTTTGGCCCAGGTTTATGCTGGGCTGGGGATTGAACCCAGGTCCTTACACATACTAAGTAAGCACTCTACCAGCTGACCTATATGTCCAGCCTCCAAGTCATCCTGTTTGCTAGGACACTATCTTGAGTTCTTATGAGAAAAATATGGGACTATGCAATATCAATTGTAACAAGTAGAATATAGGGTGGATGACTGCACTCTTACACTTATACCTTTTTAAAATTTCCTCAGTATTCCTGCCCATTTAACTATTCCCACTAAAATGAAAGCAACTGTGAAATGAAAGCATACAACACAAACTTATTACAACAGTTAACTCTTGTAGTTATTGTCATCTTTATCACAGATTAAATGGGAGTGCTTTGGTGTGTTTGGCTTTCCAGCCTATTGTTGCTTTCCAGAATTTGTGTTTTCAAGTGTCGTTGACTATGCACAGGACAGGACACAGTTGGGACATGAAGATAAACCTCACCTACTAAAGTAGATGTCATTTCTGGGTGAGGTTAACTGTGGGAAACAGAGTGTGTTCACTAAGGAAACCTTAGGTCATAACCTCCAGCATCCTGAAGGAAATGCCAAAAGTGCTCGGAAGACAAAGGGCTGGAAACAAATGAGAATGTCTCTATCCATCTGTCTGCTGAGGCGGAAGGGGTGACTTCATGCTCCACTCACTTCCTCCAGCTTTTATTACAGACTCGGGAATAATGGAAAAGCGTGTCCATTTTGCTCCAGTGGATGATAAAACTCTACTTTTGGACTTATCTCCAAGCACAGGGTGATTCATGATATGCAGCAGATAGGAGCTCCTTGGTGACAGGAGGTCAATCTTCTTGTCCATCTCCAAGCACAGTATCCTGTGGACGTGCCTTCTTCTAGTGCCACCAGACAGTGGGTCTTATTTGGAGAAAGCTGGGCAGTTGTAGATGTGAGGAATCCCCACAGTTCTAGTCAAGATGCAAAGGCAGAGAGGAAGGAATTCGTGGTTGTATTCTACCATGATATTGGATTTTAATTGAGTGTACTCTAAGGAGTAAGATGAGAAGGACCCTCAGTGATTGACATATATAGCTGGGGATGTAGCTCTGTTGGTAGAGAGCTTGTCTAGCATGCAGAAGCTGTGGGTTCCATCCCCAGTAACATATACACCTCATGTGGGTGTGGTAGTAAGCCCAGGAAGGAGAAACATGAAGGTGTTCAGTTATATATTGACTTTGAAGCCATTCTAGAATATATGAGACCATTTTTTTTTAATAGTAGCCTTGCTCAAGAGAAGTGAAAGGCTAGTGTTTCTGTATAAAAATTCAGTTAGTTCTAGATATCATGAAAGCTAAAGGAGAAAGAGAGAGAGAGAGAGAGAGAGAGAGAGAGAGAGAGAGGTGGAGAGAGATGTTAGATAGTATCCCCAACATTCAGTATTATTAACATCACAGAACATTATCCAGGGTTGTCGAGATGGCTTGGGAGGTAAAGGTGCTTGCCACACAACCCCAGTGGCTTGAGTTTGGCCCTTGGAAGCCCTTTAATGATAAGAATTGGAGCAGGGAGTGATGGTTCATCCTCATAATCCCAGTAAATGAGAGCCCGAGGCAGGAGGATAAAGAATTTGAGACCAGTTTTGGCTAAGTGACAAGTCAGAGGCCAGACTGGGCTAAATGGGACTGTCTTAAAAACCTAAAACTGCTACTATCAAATCTGGTAATATTATTAGGGATTTAGAAACTTAGATGCAAGTTTTGAATTCCTGTGTCTGTGCTTATTGCATACTAGATTCTATTGAGTAATATGGTTACTCCATCTGTAATATCCAGGATGCCTATTTTCCCCCAGTGTAAAAAGTCTGCTTCTAGAGATCATCATTTTAGTCCCTTTGAAATTATTCTGATTTCTGCTCCAGACACTGCTTTGTTAAGAAACTGTCCAGTACACATCTTTCCAGTACTTCCCAAACTGCACTTTTCTTAGACTTTGGACCCTCCATACCTATGTTCTCTCCAGCGCTAGGATTGCTCACTTCTATGCATCTGTTTGGAGCTGCTACTGGGAAAGGAAGACTTCAGACAAATGATGGGCTCGTGGGCAATGCTACAAAGTGAGGACTGGATGATCCAGTAACTCTCAGTGGTAGCAATCCCATGTTTCGTAGCAAATCAGGCTATAGTACTAGAGTGGTCCATTTTAAAGCTTTCAATATACAGAATTCCTAAAGAGCTTCTTAACAGTCACTGGCTCAGCTGTTGGGGCTCATCTATAAGCCTAGTTCTCATGAGGCTTAGACAGGGGGATTGCTGTGAGTTCCCATTCCCATTAAGAAAACAAAACAAAAAACTCAAAGGTCCTTCAATAACTAATCTCTAACTAAAAATGTCATATTATATATGGTAAGTATTTGCAATGAGTCTTTGTAGTTTCTATACAATGGTGTTATTCTTTTTATATAACCATTTTTTGTTGAGACAGGATCTTGTATAGCCCAAGCTGGCAACAAACTTATTCTGAATCTGAGGCATATACCATCACATCTGGCTCTAAAATTTTGTGTATGAGGCAGGGTATCATATAGTCCAGGATGGCCTCAAACTACCTGAAGATGGGCATGAACTTAGGACTTTGCCTTGACTGATCAAGTTCCAAGATTACTGGTGAGTGCTACCACACCCAGTTTATGCAACGCTAGACCAAGAACCCAGGACTTCCTGCATGCTAGACACTCAGACCCTCTACCAACGAAACTGTATTCTTTTTTTGTCTTTTAGATGACTCATTTCACTCTTCTGATATGTGGTGTTTTCTAAAGGCACCTAACTAATTTTATCAAACTAAATTTGATGCCATTTATTTTTAGAGTTGATTTGTTTGCATTTTTCCATGAATAGTTTCTAAACATATTGAGGGAGGATAATGAACCAAAAACAAAAGAAAACTTTACAGACTGGAAATATCCTTTTCCTGTGAACACAGAGAGTGGAGTTGGTGGAGGGTTGTTTTGTGGATGTGTGTGTGCATGTGAGTGTGTGGGGGGAGAGGGGGAGACAGGCTGGTATATGTGTCTTTTGAGATAGGATCTCATTCTGCAGTCCAGGCTGTCCTTGAATTTACTGTAATCCCCTTGCCTCAGCTTCCTGAGTACTGGGTGACAGGTGAGAGTTACCCTGCCCAGCCCAATAAGTTCTTGAAGATGAGAAATCGTAACAAATTGCATCATTTCCCTGACACTTCCTTCCTACCTTTTGGATGTGCCTCACATCCTACAAGGACTTAACAGAGCCATCTACAGACAGCTGTGCTTTTAATTCTGTGGTACCTGAATCTAGAATCACCTTTCAGGAAATAAGGAATGAGCAGGTAAAAACTTTCAGAGTTTTATTGAAACTTTTTTTTTCTGGGCATTGCAATATATGTCCAGGGAAGTAGGAAATAGGAAGGTTATGAATGAGATGCTATCTCAGAAAACAGGATTTTTTTTCCCCTTGTGGGGGAGGCACTCAGGGAATATGATCAGTACACCGTAAATATATGTCCAAGAATTTTAAAAAAGAAAAATACTTATAAAAAGGCATCAACACAAAATCCAAAAGAGGAGAGAAAAAGAAAATCAGACAAGCTGGGGAGACAAGAGGCAGACAGTGTTAGAAATACACTTTATTCAGTCAGTTCAGGCTTGTCCTTTTCACAATCCTTGATTAGCACTAGTACCAAGAGCAATGCTGCTCCAGGAGGGAAATAATGTCCCTTAAACACTCTATCCTCTATTCCTGGGCTTGCCTCTTGACTTTAGATTCCCATGGTTCCTGTTTACATCATGTTCTCCTCTTTTATTCCTCTGAGATCTCAAAGATTAGGCTTAGCTCATCGATCTCATAGATCTCAGGCTTAGCTCTATGTATAGGCTCATGCCTATACATACATATACATATATGTATGTAGAGCCCAGAGTGAGCTGTGGGCCTGAGGGTTTAGAAACTACTATGTTGTGTTCTATTGAAGCTCCTCCAGACTCCCTGCCAGCCGCTTTCTTGTTGATGACAGCCAGCCGCTTGGAATACTACTCAATTACTACTTTTATTTTTAATAATTTACATAAATCTCAAAATCATTATTTTGAACAAAAAACAAAACAAAACAGTCTCATGCTGCATAAGGCCTTGACATGAAATCTAGGAAAAAGCAAAACCGGGCCTAGAGAGATGAGTCAGGGGTGAAGAGTGCTGCTCACTGCTCCTGCACAGGGTCTGAATTTGGTCCTCAGCACCCACGTCAGGTGGTCCGCAACCCTCTGGAATTCCAGTTTCAGAGGATCTAACACTTCTGGCCTCTGCCAGACACTCATATGCACTCAAATAATTAAAGACAGTAAAAATATAACTTTTTTAAGAAGGAAA